ATCTAACAATATCAGTGCATGGCAATAAAAAAGTTAATTTGAAAGTGACACACGAAATAAATTGAAATAATCGACCATTGATAAGCAATAGAGAAACTTAGATAAAACACAATTTTTATGAAATATATTTTAGTCTTTTTGTAACCAACAAAGATATGTTTGATTGTGTTACTGAACGTTTTGAGATTAAAAATGTAGTTGCTTTTACTAATGACGTCTTTAAAATGAAATTTGTGGCGTTGATGCTTATCCGGATGATAATAGCGCTGTTTGTTTTGATTTTTCGTTTTCGTTTTCGTTTCTTTCATGTGCAAACAGTTATTATTCTTTAGATCTTTATACAAATTAGGCATTTGTATTTCTCAATCATTTTTAGGTAATTTTGTCATTATTCCACAAATTCCATAATACTATTGTATTTATTTCATAATTAATACTTACTATGCTCAGATGAAAATTAAATCTTTCTGTAAAATCTAAACAATCTAATTTTAATTTTCTTTATTATGACAATACCCTTGTTTTAACAAATTTAATAGGTATTGCTTGTGACCATTAAGTTGTAGCGATATCTATGTTGGTGGTGGTGCTACTGGATTTGTTTCTGTGGCCACAAATGACTACGTTAATTCTAGTGATACGTTTGATGGAATCAGTATTAAATCTTTATCTTTTGTTGATGATAGACGATAATCTTTTCGTTTTGATTGTTGTTTGTTTTTCTTGTGTTAGTTTCATTAGACTTTATTTTAAACAATCAAATATTTCTAATGTTGGGTTATACTAAGATATTTCCATCTTTTAATTTGAAATATAATTCTTCTTTTAAAGCATTTAGTTCTTTACAATCTATATCAGATGCTAATACAGCACAAACATCATCTGTCATCATGAGAATAGACAGAGAATTACTCAGGGCAATGCAAAACTAGTGCTGTATTTATCGTGTTTTCGTATAGAAAGTTTGAAGAAATTTTCTTTTTTTACGTAGTGATACAGAAAACGATTCTCTATTTTCGTTTACCATTTGATCTGTTGAACTAATATCATAATAAAATTAATAGAAGAACCTTTTTTTTCTATAAAATAGGACGGTTTCCAATTACTAATGCCATTTGAAAAAAGGCTAAGTGAGTATTTTTTAAATAACTTTTCATAAAATAACATAGAGAACTGTGATTTTCATCGTTCGAAACAGTGGGAAAAGATGCACTGAACCATGTATTACAAGTTTTCCAAATATGTTGTCTGATGTTTCTTTACTCAATTTCTGAAGTGTCAAAAAAATGGTTTTTCATCAAAAAGCAAACAAGAAAACAATTTGTTTTGCAGAAATCGCTAGAAAAATGACTTACAGCTTCGATTAGAATACTTTTAACTCCTGAATAATGAATTCGAAGCATGTCAACCATATAAAGTTTTGTAGATCTTCCATTGGTGATTTGAATGCACATCTGGTAATTAAAAATTCACTGCAAACACATCATGCAATAGACTTATTTTCAAAGAGATCGATCGAAAACCTCACAAAGTCAGATCCAAAAAAATACAGCATATAATTCAATGTGTAGTCATCTCTTCTTGCAAATGGAAAAAACCGCAGTTCTCTATTTTGTTTCTATGAAAAGTTATTGAAAAAAATACTCACTCAGCCTTATTTTCTAATAGCATTAGTAACTGACAACCGTCACGTTTTACAGAAAAAATGGCTCTTAACTTAATTTTATTATTATGACATTAGTTCAACAATGATCAAATAGTACACGAAAATAGAGAGTCGTTTTCTGTATCACTACATAAAAAAAGAAAATTTCTTCAAGCTTTCTATACGGAAATAAGATAAATACAACAGTCGTTTTGCATTGCCCTAGATAGATAGAATTCATTCAGATTTAAAAGATAAATTCTTCAAAATTGAGCGTAATGACAATTGCTGATATTTACATAAACAATCAGCATATTGCCTCTTAACTGATACTGAAAGTCCTTTATCAAGTGCTCGCGTTTCTCATGTCACTGAAACAAGAAGAAAGTGTTCACATTGATGCCGTTTATTTTCTTATATTTTTTATTTTTGCTATTTAGTAATAAATATCAAAAGCTAACAAAAACAGTTTCATCTTGCATTACACATTTTCATACCTCCTCGTACTTCTGAAGTACAGAAGTATGCTTTTTCTTCATTGACAAAAATATACGTCGAAAGTGTTATCAAGATAGTTGTTTCGAAGTAATATTTGTTTTTAATTTTGTGCCTATGAGTCTATCTTTATGAAATTCATCACTCCACTCCAAAATCAAACGAGATTCACATATGTAAGATACAAACTTGTACTTTGCCTATGAATTTGAGACTTGCATTATTTCTATGACTTACAGCAGCATTTCCATCGAATCTTGCCTTTCAGTTATTTTGCTTGATCCTCCTCCATAATCTAGGAGACATTCGGTTGTTATTTTAATTGTACTTGACATTAAAGAATGGCCGTTCTTCCGCGACAACGTGCTTTCTTTTCGATTGTGATGAATTGCATGGTGACTGATTGACTGATTATGTTAATTACTATTAAATGATTTGACAATTGTTTGGTTATTCCATTTGAAAGAGGTTTTTTTAAATAATCCTTTGGTAGACAAAGAATTCTGAAAACGTGTGTAAACCCACAAAATAAATTAGTATTTTAGAATGCCAATCGAGGTTCTCCACGGTCAGCAAAAAGAGACTGAAAATAGTTTTGAAAAAGAGCAATTTAGTGGCATCAAACTTTTTTCACGGCAATTTGACTAAACCTCGAGCAAAAAGAGATTCGGAATACGCGTGTAAACGCTTAAAAAATTAGCTTTTTGAATTCTTACACGCGTGTGGATAGTAGTGGCCATCAAAATGTTCATACAATTCATATTCTCTGTGTGTACACGAGTACACAAAATGGAAATACAAAATATGCACGTACAGATGTTTAAAATTTACTCTTTTCAGCGATTTTTCCTACCAATTTACCAAACATGTGTATAAACATCCAACGAAAACAGTTTTTATAGCATTGAAACGCATTTTCTGAAATTCCTGCCTGCCTAAGTAGTCCTTAGTCATTCAAGAGATAATCGATCAAATCATTTGATATACATAGCCTGAGAAACGTTATCCATAGGTTATTCTCAATCGAGTAACTAGGCATGAAATTATCAGAAAGGTATCAATATGCTTGTTCTTTTATGGCAATTACGTCTTAATACCTGTTGTGAAAATTTTCATAAAGGAAGTACTCATGAGATGATGACACACGCTTTATTTTGACTTCTTTACATTACAAGTCGTGTCACTCATAAATAAAACAGACTCTTCTATAAGAGATGGAGGGAGAGCAGTGGTCATCAATAACGATCATAGAAGAAGAGAATAGACACACGATCAATATACAGAAACAAATGATAGTGATGATCTCCGTGCCACCTGTCCTGAGACAAAATTGCACAAAATTAAGAACATCGCAAACATGCAAAATTTAGCCACTGCATTACTTAGAGCTACTCGATCGGTTGCATAGCTTATGGGAAATGTGAGATGAGAATGTTCCTGTCATTCTTTTTCTCCAAATATGATGCTGATGACGAGTATATTGAGAAATGTGAAAAAGAGACGTGCTCTCTCTTTCTACCAGCCACATTATTTTACTTTGATAGACATAGACTGTAGCAAAGTACAAATATGCTTAGATGATTTGTATTCGTACAGATCATGACGCATATAATCGAACAGGAAATTTTGCGACATCCCATCGCCTTTTCTATTATGAGTAATTAACCGTTCTTAAAAATTAGCCTGCACCTCAAATTCAGCATTCGAATTCTCATTAAAAGTCATGGGAGACATTTTAACTTAGTCTCCTGGCCTTTTTCCAAGGATTTGGTCAATGTACAGATGTACAATATGAAGCATACCATCGAGTTTTAATACTTGAAGCTCGAAAGGATTACAATGAAAACTTTTTCACATACAATCTTCGTTTTAAAATAGTCAGTTGAATGCTTCTAAAACAATTTACGATCAATACGAACAGAAATAGTCAAATTTTCTTCATTTTCGTATTTGTTGAGTTTCACCTTTATTAGTAAATAAATAGCTTACATAGTGCACTAGCTACTAATATTCATTTCAAAATAAAAGAGGGATGAATATTTTTCGAATAATTTTTAATAGGAACTAATTAGATAGAGATCTGCGGTTTTCGCTGTCCAATAAAAGAAATGAAACTGCATCAAATCTTGAATACCAGATTTTTCTGACAAATTTTCTCAGAATCCATCGCCAAGTTTTCTAAACAAAAATTCAGACTTTCTAATAGATTTAGAAAGGAGATTTTTCGTCAAAAGATTCGCAAAAAGTCACTTTTTCTTGAAAAATCTGCCGAAAACACGTAGTAAAATGTTAATTCGTTGGGATTGGCTAAACTTTTTAACAACGGACTTACGCAGATTATTGAACCTTAGTTAACGATTCTGGTGCACTGCTGAAAATGAAAATTCTAAAACTTTTACATTACACAATGTTTTGTGTTTAAGAAACATGGAGGGCGACCATGGGAAAACTTGTCAGAAAAATCTAATATTCAAATTTCGATGCAGCTTCATTTTTTCTGTTAGATGATGAAAACCGCAGATCTCTATGTAAGTAGTTCATATATAAACTATTCGAAAAATAATTACCCATCTTTTATTTTAAGATGGATATTAGTCATCAAGAAATGGTATAGTCATCGTTGGTAATAGTTTTTGCTAGCCGAGACGGTTAACACCAGCTTTTGTGTGGTATTTTAGTTGCTTTAGTATTTCTTTGATAACATATTGGCTGTCATTATCTAAAGCCACCAATGAGTAAGGACCATGAGGATGCAATCGACGCATTTGAATGATAGTTTCGCGAGCACATGTTTCCAGATGTAGTTTATCCATGGTGACATGAAGAAAATAAACGGTTGATTTCTTATTCGCGAAACTTTGAAAACATTCATCAGTGATAGTATTGCTGGATGAAATAGCAAATATGATCGATTTACTATCCTTGACCAGAGAAACCCTGAGAACTCCTTCCATGCCAGTATACAATGTAGCCTTTTTCGTTGTAGAAACTGTTAAGTCATCTTCACCTTCATTCATCTGTTCCATATCACTCAATAATGTGGTATGTGTCGCTCCTGATGCAGCTTGTCGTTCTGTCAGCTTTTTATGTACTTGACTAGCAATCTGTGAAATTTTAATACCTTGAAATATTTCTGCTAGAGAGATGAATGCACCCCATTCTTGACTGAGCCAATTGTAGAGTGAAACGGCTGCAAGTGAATCCAGACCGAGTGAAAGAAGCGAACGATCTATATCTATTCGATCAATGCTCGATGCTCCTAGAAGACGCATCACTGTTTCTCGAGTTCGTTCAATAATGACTTCGATCCTTGCAGTTGATAAAGAACCAGAATCAGTCGCTCGTGAACTAGAAATATCTTCTAGAGTAACCTGTTGCTCAATAAATTGTACCAGCTGATGATTAGTCAAGCTAGCCTTATTAGAATTTAGTCTTTTCCAGTCGACAGCAAAAATGACAGGTGATGAGAAGTTTGTTTGCATGTTAAAGAGTTGTTCGACCAAATCGAATGTAGCTACTGTAGGCAACATCTCAATTCCTTGAGCAATAAGTAGATTATTCAAGATGACCTGTTGTCGATGGAACATGCCTGCTCCACTCACTGCTGGCAAAGCAATTGCTAGAGCCGGTAATTGTAGATGCTCACGGCGATAATGTGCTAGAGCCTCAAAAAACTCATTTCCTGCATTGTAGCCACTTGATCCAGGATCAATCAAATGATTACGAATCGATGAAAACATAACGAAGAAGTGCAGCGATGTACCGATTTGTTGTGATGCTTGATGAAGATTCCAGCCACCACGTACTTTGGGTTGCATAACGCGAAAGAGTGTCTCTTGGTTAAGATTGCTCAACAATTTATCATCGGATATGACAGCACTATGTATAATGCCACGCACTGGATGTGATGTTTGATTCAGACGTTTAACTAGTTCACAAACATCGTCACATCGAGTCACATCCACTTGAACGACATCAATGCAAGCATCATGTTTGACTGCTATCTCTTTAAGTTGTAACCAATCTTCTAATTGTGGATTATTTTCGGCTTTTTCAAACTGTTCAATTGTACGACGACTCATTAAAGTAATGTGCTTAACACCTCGCTTTTCCGCCATCCAACGAGACATAGTGAGTCCAAGACCACCCAATCCACCAGAAACGAGGATCGTTCCATTCTCACACACCAAAGATGGAAACATTGATCCTAAAAATAACAAGTTATGTTAGACAGTAACTATTCGATTAACAATTTAATATACCTTCGCTTGAGTTTTCATTGATCTTCATGTTTATATTATTTTCTTTTACTAAGAGAGGCTGTTCAGAATTCGTTATACGAACTACCATTTTTCCCATGGATGTGCCAAGGCTGCCTTGGGTAAATGCATTAATTACTTCAGACGGCTCAAAAATAGTCAAGGGTTCGACTGGTTTGAATAGACCTCTTCGAAAATGATCGAGAACATCGTCGAACATTTCTGTAATGATGGGCAATTCTTCGGCGGTGTGTAAACTGTAATCAATAACATGAAAACTACAATCTTGACGCAAGTCAAAAATCGGTAGACTTGTTCTCGCATACACGTCTCGTTTGCCAAGTTCAATGAAATGACCGTGAGAAGCAAGTAGTTTGAATGATTCTTGAAGAAGTGGGCCCGAAAGAGAATTAACAATGACATCAACACCATTTGGAAAATGAGAACGTATTTCGGTGACAAACGACAAATCGCGACTATTGAATACATGTTCAATTCCATAGTGATTTCGTAGAAAATATCTCTTGGCATCGCTACCTGCAGTAGCGATAACTCTAGCGCCAACTGCCTGGCAATACTGGATGCAAGCTTGACCAGCGGCACCAGTGGCAGCATGAATAAGAACGGTCTGACCTTGCTTAAGTCCAATACGATGTTTTAAGGAGAGGATCGCTGTTGAAAATGCAGTAGGCAAAGTAGCCAATTGATCGTCCGACAACATGCATTCGTCGGGCACACGTGAGACCAATGAGGTATTGACAATAATATGGGAATGGAGGGCACCTGATGAGCAAGTACCAATAACACGATCTCCAATCTTAAAACCTTTCGAATTAAAAAGAATAACAGTACCCATGAAATCAGTTACTGCACTAGTATCACGATCGAGCAGAGGTACGTCACAATCTTGTTGACCAAACACTCGTGTGTGAGGATACAAACCACGTACTTTCAGAACATCTCTAAAGTTGAGACTTGTGCAGTGAACGCGAACTTGTATTTGACCAGGTAATAGATTGTTGATCGGCATCGGTTCTCTCATCCAAACAAGATCAGCTACAAAGCGTGATGGTGGAACTTGAAGTCCAAATGGATTCTTATCGGCATCAGTTTTAGGTACAATTGTTCTTTCCATTTTCGATGATACTTCATGGTTCTCTTTTGATTTCAACCAATCATAGTGCCATTGGAAGCATTGAAGGCGACTTTCTGCATCAAAAGATAAAACGACTTCATCAAAATTATCGGCTTCTCTTGAGTTGATCATATGCTGTGTGAGAATATCGGCATAGGATGATTCTGCAAATCTGGCTGGTGTTGGTTGTAAATCAATGAGCTTTATATGATGACGTGGACATTCAACGCTTAGACTACGCGCAAGTCCAATGAGTGGTGCTGTTCTCGGATTAAATTCACTCTTTCCATGTATTGGCTGTGAGTTTTGTGTAAGAATAAATACATATGGAAATGAATTATTCTGTCGATGGTATTTTTCAATAGATTGCAGTATGCACACGAATTTGTAGCATAAATGCTCTATATGTGATTCAAGTGTTGGTTCATTGCTATTCTGATAATGTTGTAATATATCGAGTGGCCAAGCAAATACGACATGCAATTGTTTATATTGTTTCAACATGGCATCAATTGTTGAAGAAATATGATCAGTAGTGACAGTATCTAGTAGAATTTCAATGTTGGAACTTGGTAAATGAGGTACAAGTGCATGTGATAGATTGTGTGCACCATCAGCAAATAAGAGCCAGGCTTGATCCTGCCATTCGGAAAGATGAAGGAGAATGGATCGTGTTGTTGACTTTCGCACAATCATGAGCGAATCTCCGAATGCATTCGGCTTTGCTGACACTACCATCGGTTCGAATCCACCTACTGATTGGAATGCTTGTCTCCATTGATCAATAGTCAGTGGAGCACGACTTTGATCGTTACGCCACCAATAAGGAAATAAACCAAATAGAAGATCGAAGTACGAATGAGTTAATGTTAATTCAACCACAAGAAGAAGACCACCTGGTACAAGAAGACGACGAAGTGATTCAAGTGAATGATTAATATCATTCGTAGTCTGAAGTACACTGGCCACAAATATAATATCATGCGCTTCGTCTGCAAAAGAATAAATCAACCAGTTTTGCAAATTTTAAATTATGAGTAATAGTGCTTAAAAATAATCTAAATTTTCACTCTATTTATCAAGGTACTTAGGGAAAGCATTCGATTGAAACATGTTTTACTCTATCCCAAAAAAGATCAACAAATTTATATAAACAAATATGGACTCGACCAGTTTATTGCATTTTTCCATCCTAGGTAGTCGAAAATCGTGAATAAATATCGTTTAACAGTATACTTATATTAATATTAAGACACACTTATTTTCACATATTTCACCAATGTGAAAATTAGTGTGTCCTAATATTTAAAGTGCATTTTCGTATTATATATCTCATATTTTTTACTCTTTTGTAAAAACTGCACTAGAAATCATTTGCTCATCTGCNAGAGCTATCAACCCCGACAGATGTTGCTTTCGACCGAGTTTTTACAAACTTTCTTGCCAGATAATCATTCGAAGTGATGCGCCACTTCTGAGTTCATGTCTTGGACGACGTGATCAACCGAATCGATAGAAAATATAAAATCGCGCTCTCTCTCTCTCTCAGAAGACAAGATCATCATCTTTTACTATGAAAATTGAAAGGGCTTCTTCAAAAGAAGCCTTCTACTGAGGGTTAGTTTTTCGCTGACCTCTGCTTAGAATCTCCAAGATTTTTTTTGGTAGCAAAAAAGGCATTATCAGCAACAAAATGCGAGAAAAGCAGACTTTTCACTAGAAAAAAAGTGAATTTTTATAACAAAAGCTGTTAGCACAATCCCTTACGGGATTAAAAATGTGAAACACGATGCATCTGTTGTTACTAATTAAATCGAAATCGTTTTGTTCCATTTCTTTGCAATACATTTGTAGCTAACCGTTTATCTGATGCTTTAGAACTACAGTTTCTCTGTCACGGTCTGTGATGGGTCCAAAGCCTGTCTGTCACGGTCTGTGATGGGTCACGTGAGTGTCTGTCACGGTCTGTGGGGGGAGGGGGTCCAAATTTCTACCCCTAAACACTTCAACACTCCTTTCAGATCGTGTTTCACAAAACAACAGAAAGCATTTTTCACAAAAAACCCTATCCAGAGATAAGTGTGAAAATGGTCAGTCCAATCATTTGCTTATCAAACTTTTAGACATATGGGTTGATTCTCTCAAGGTATGATACTCAACGACATGATTGATCTTTTAACTTTTATGTCATTTCTAACAAAGTTCAGGCTTACCAATCTATTTTGAAAACATGTTTTTTCAATTTTGTCTATAATCTCTAATAGTAGCCTTAATGATGATGGCTTTACTTAGATTAAAACAAAAAAACTAACAATGTTCCAGTCTTATTAATAAGGCCAAGTTCGTTTGAGTAGAAAAGTATATATTTACCTAGCAAGGTTGAGTTATCTGATTCAGCTTCTATGTCATAGACACGATAAGAGACGAAAATTCGTTGATTTCTCGTGTTATTATTTGGCAGACAGGACTGGAAAGCTTGCTCAGCCTCTAATAGAAGTATTTCTGTCAGATCGACATAGAGCACTTTAACGTATGTGTCTGTTTGTTCAGCAAAATCAGCCAATTTACGAACAATAGGCACTGAAATTGAACTCATACCAACTCCGAATAATAGAATACGTATTGAATTCGGATGATTGTTTTGCATATGATTGATGAATGCTTGAAAAACACATTGTGTTTTTGAAAACGAAATAGTATTCTGCACATCTTCTAGGGCTAACTCAGTTTCCTTGTTTTGTATAAATAATTCTTCATGAGACTGCCGACCAAACAACGTTCGACCGAGTTTGGATCCGACTACGTTCATTAGAGTAACGAATGATTTGAGACGAGGAAATCGATTAACAAAATTTTTATGAATTAGCCGAATCGAATGATTTGTCACTGTCATAGTGATATTGCCACACTCATCAACTAGTCCATGTTGATGAACAAGTGAAAAAGCAGCTTCAAATAATCGGATAAAATAAGGTTCATCATCTCGCACAAGATGACGTAGCTTATCTTCAACGATCAGTTGAATGTTCTCTAATGAAGCAAGGCGTTGTAATGCTTGAAGAGCATACATTCCAGCTAAGGCATTCGATGGCTCGACTGAATCTGCTAGTTGATTCTTGACATTATCATTGTCATTGTTTATCGTTTCTATCTCTAATTTTTCTGTCTCATCAATCAACGTGTTCGACGACGGTAACAGATCAACTGTCCTAGTGAAATGATTAAACAGAGTTGACCATTTCTTTTGTTGACAAAATTTAGATAAAACTGCTTGTATATGATCATTATAATCTCCATTTGGTAGATGAACAATTTCATTTATTTTTTGGAAAATAGACTTATCCGATGGTGTCCAACAAGTGGAAATTCGTTGTATTTTGAACATTTGAAATATGACGAGTGGTTTTGTATTGGATTGTATCATTTCATCATCACTGTTATATATGGCAACATCCAGAGTATGAGCTCGTTCTTGCGAAAGACCAGCAAGAAAAGAATGATAGGATCCATGTATCACTAATTGAGACAAATGACAAGTACTCCCATAAACAATCATCTTGTCAATGGCAACCGGAAGAAACGTTTCAATACCTGGTACAATAGACAAGAATGTATGAAAACAACTATCAATAATAAGTGGATGTAGATGGTAACGTATATCGTTTTGTTCATCATTAACTAGAGTAACTCGCCCAGTTACTTCTGAATTTGTGGTTTTAACTGAGGTTACCATTTTAAAGCTGGGACCATACTGATATCCTCTTGTGAATAAATGATCGTAGAGATTAGGAATATTTAGATCATACCAGTTTGCTGTTTTCTCGTTACTAAATCGACAGGCTAACGACGCATGAATGTTCAAATGAGGACCAATATCAATCTGACCTCGTGCATGCAGAGTAAATTGACGCAGAGAATATGTATTTAATGTTTGAAGATCAACGAAAGAATCAATAAAGTCATTGCAAGCCATACCAGCAGATCGTTGACAATTTGATCCAGCTTCCGACCATGGTCGACTGTAAATCAACCATTCACGCATCGGCATCACAATTTGTGTAATAACTTCAGTTAATTCACGCTCGGTCAGAGCAAGAGCTTTGATAAATTCAATCTGCCTAAAAGCGATCGGTGGTGGCGTCTCATCATTATTAGTCATTGGCAAGAGCTGACGACAAGCGGCAAGTGCCATTTCAAGAAATCCAGTAGCTGGAAGAAGAATATCATCTTGCATTTTGTGTTGAGATAAATAGGCATGTTCAGGTAAATTGAGATTGATCAAACTTTTCCATATTGCTGATGTGTGATCAGTCCATTGACGAACACCCAGTAATGGGTGTAGAGGCAAACGATAAGCTAGACGCTCTATTGCAGATTCTTTTGATTCATACCAACAAGGAGTTAAGTTGAATGCATATAATGGAAAATTATCAAATAAATGTTCGACATCTTTATTTGGTTGAACACATCGAGATTCAAGATAGGGTTTCCAGACATCGAGTGAGTATGAGAGTTGTGCAATGCTTGTCAACAGTGTTTTCTGTTCGTCCTCCTTTCGTTTAAGAGTAGGCAAAATTACTGGCTGAATAGTGGATGCCTTTTCGTAGCATTCGTGTATTGATGTGCCCAAAACAGGATGAGGTGATAATTCGAGAAAAGCGTCCACGACTCCATCTTGAACGATTGCCGCAATAGCATCACCAAATCGAACACATTGGCGGACGTTTGACCACCAATGATGGGCATTCAGCGGCGTTTTATCGTCTATTCGACCTCCAGTAACAGATGAATAAAGTGGAACTTGTGCACAACGAACATTAAACATTTCTTGTGTATTTTCAAGAGGAAAACCTCGAATATAGCCAAGTGTTGATAGCAACTCTTCCTTAATACCAAAGCGATCCATCTGATGAGAATGAAATGCGTTCTCGATCCGTAGTCGAGCTTTGAACACTGTCGGATGAAGTGTTTCAAGAATGCCTTCGAGTTCATCGATAATTTTTTCATCACCGCTAAGTGTCAGCGATCGTGGACTATTGACAGCGGCAACACACACCAGGTGTTCGATTCCCTTGAGCAATAAATCTCGTACTTCTTGTTCATTCATAGCAACAGCCAACATTCGACCATCTTGACGTGTATTTCGATGTTGAAGACGCGATCTATTATAAACAATATGAACTGCTTCATTTAATGAAACTCGGCCAGAGATAAAAGCAGCTGCTTGTTCTCCTGCACTGTGAGATACAATTGCACTGGGAAAGATATGCCATGAAACGAGAAGTGCTGCAAGAGCTACTTGAACAGCAAATAATGCGGGTTGTGCGATGTTAGTGTCATTAATACGTGATTCTTGCTCAGTCTTTTCCATCATTTCATGCAATAAGTTGAATTCACCACCATTGATCTTGATGAGTTCTTGATTGATTCGTTGAATCCATTGACAAAAAATCGGTTCAGATGAATACAACTCTCGACACATGGCCCACCACTGAGGACCCTGACCACTGAAAACAAAACATATTCGAGGACAACTTGATAAAATACGCTTGGTGACTAATAGTCCTGGTGTTGATTGTTTTTGAAGAAAAAGATCAAGTTGTTGTTGTAATTGAGCACAATTGGCTGAAACAAATATGGCCAAATGCTCGTAACTAATAGTGCGTTTGAGCAATAATTGCTGTGAGATACGTGCAAGAAAAGAACATTCATCCTTTTGAGGTTCTATTTGTTTTAACCATTCATTGAATGACATCACTTGTTTGTAAAGTGATTCACTACTCTTTGCTAAAAGCCAAATATAGTAAACAAACAAGTAGAATGTAAGTAACATACTCGAAAAGATAAAAAGACTATGTTGTTGTAGCAGTTTTCCTTTAATATGACCATTTGTATTGATCGATTTCTGTTTTGGATGATACTCTTCTATAATAGCATGAGAATTATTGCCAGCAATACCAAACGAACTAATGCCGAAAGCTATTGGATGTGGTTTTTCACCATCACTATTAATTGGAGGAAATAGAGTTATTGTCTGAACCACATGCAGATTGAATTGATCTACTTCAATTTTTGAATTATACTCTTTGAAATGCATGTTTGGTGGGATCGCTCTATGTTTCATACACATTATTGCTTTAATAAGAGATGCAATACCAGCTGTTGCTTCCGTATGCCCAATATTGCTCTTAACGGATCCGATTAATAGTGGAGGATCAAAGGGCGATCGTTGAAAGAATTCACCAATACTGTTGGCTTCTATTGGATCACCTACTTGTGTTCCCGTTCCATGCGCTTCAACGTAGAAGATACGATTTCGATCGTATTGTGTTCTAGCATAAATTTCGCTTAAAAGACGTAGTTGTCCAGCGGTTGCTGGCACAACATAACCGTGTTTACCTTCAGAACCATCATGGTTGCTTAAGACATCATGTATTACACAGTAAATTCTATCCCCATCCCTTTCAGCATCACTCAATCGTTTGAGAAGAACGAGACCTAGACCTTCACCTAAAAGGTAACAGACCTTTTAATCTTTCATACAACGTTCATTAAAATTCGAATCCTAAATCGAAGACACATTCATTGAGCAAGACTCCATAGAACTGAATCATATCTAACACTATCGAGCCTCCCAGCTTACGTATCACTACATGTAGACCTTTGGTGCTATGATAGCATGTCAGGACGGATGAAAATTCAAAATTTTGCATTGAATATACTTAAAACGCTCACGTTTTGAGAATTTCAAAACTAAAATTCTTCACAAAAACAATTTGTGAAATCTGAAGACTCATCAATAAAATGAAAGCGCTCATGTCTGAATCTGATTCTTACAAAATAGTGAGCATTTAGTAAAATTACCTTGTATAGCCTTAATAGTCTAGCAAAAGTAGTTATTGAATTTTAAGCTAAAACCTTATCCCATAAATATATCAACTAAATGAAATTTCCTAAAACTTTTCCAAACTTTCAATATCCTATTTGAGACAAGAGTCGTTTGAAAATCAGAGTTTAAATTATCTCTGGAAAGGCATTAATATCCTGAAAATTCATTTTTCTGAAAGATATGGTTCCAAATCCTAAAACCTTTGACATAAATTAATTTAGTCACATCTTTATGCAGGCAAAATTTGAATTTCAAGGTCGAAAGCATTATTTTCACTTGGAAATGACGGTCACTCAATGAGAATTGACAGGTTTTCATTGATATTCTACAATGCTTCCTATTGTACATTGTAGAATTACCAGTTGAAGAGTAAACCTCTGAGATTAAACTCCGATAGCTCATTGAAAGTTGAACAGTTAAAACCTATAAAGAGTGGCATTATGGAAGATAAAGTTTTATTCATAAGGTAAGGATAGGGGAAGAAAAAGATAGATTGAGATTGATAGCGTTCCTTATAAATTTAACTTAGTTGCGATAAAAAACATGGCTTCCATTCAAAAGAGATTTTGAATTTTTCTCATTACATGACACTAATGAACAAGTAACGCTCGTCTGTGTGACTCGCTTGACCCTCGACTGAATATTTTACTGTTTCGGTATTATATACTGCTCTACAACGCTAAAAAACCCTAGTATCCAAGGTTCGAACAAGGTTGCGTGTGAGTGTGGATATTTATATCCACATCAGTGTCGTTCTGCACAATGCCATACGTGTCTGTGTGATACTTTTTGCCATAAATTCATCCAATCAAACCGATACCCACACAGTAATACCCAACGAAAATCTACATAAGCCACACTAAGACAGCAGCATCCACACGTTCCGAGAAAAGAGATTATCTTCAATAAGCTGAGAGGATCAACATAGAAAACATATCCGTGACACTAGCGTGGAAACGCGTCACACACATTGAAAACTCTAATAAAAGTCCGCATAGTCACTAGCACATCAACCGACAATGTCATTTGCTTCTGTCGGCTACAAAAATACGGGTTTAGCTGAGCTTCTAGATTAAAATAAATCATTTTTGATAAGACCTATAACCAGAAAACGGCACTTAAGTGACCCTCTTACTCAAAGTAGTTATCGAATTGGGTAGTTAATTTCCAGATATCCGCAAAAATTTAGACACTTGAATACACACAGGGAAGCACGTATAACAACAGACAAACACATTTTATTTCATTCAACTCTACTTCGAATGGAGTGAATCTGAATTCGTTGCGTGATGTTTTCCATCACATGTTCTATTCAGATATTGTGCGCGTGAAGCGCAACTGTTCTCGGACTTCATTCGAAAATATTTCTTAGATTTTTTCGTATTTCTAGCTCTAATTGAAACCGGCCAGATCTAGACCGTAGACATTTTTTCGCTGGATTGCAACAGCCTGAGGCGTTCTTTCAGGCAATTTCTCAGAGCAGCGGCTAGTCGCTCGTCGGCGCCCCTTCGGGGCGCCACTGGTGGCTAGCCGCTCCCATCCTTAACTCTATTCCAGCATAAGATCATCCTCTTTGATTTACACCCAACCTCGTTCTAGACTACGGTTCCAATAATCGTTAGATTTATAACACGAGAATTCTCGAAAGGAAATTCCAAAGCCGAAACCTTGTTGTGAACTATTCCTCATGTCTTTAATTTCATTGCTTAGCTAGTCAATCAGAGGTTTATTGAAATTTTTCGTTAAGAGAATCTTAGTATAGTATTCTCCAAAAAATCCTAGCCTTTATATAGATCATTTCTAAAGCAAATCAACAGTGAACTTACAATAGGAGCGACTAGTCGTTCGTCGGCGTCCCTCTGGGGCGCCACTCACGGCTAGTGGCTCCATTATTTGAACCCACTCAACCAAATAGCTGGTTCTTCTCTATTAACCATAAAGATGAGACCTCATTTTCATATATCTGTTGATATTACCATCTTCGAGTCATACTGGCGGAAAGTTCCATAAGTCAGAACTTCTGCTTAACAAAAATGCGAACAAGAACTAAGCAAGCATTAAACTCATTCTATTTCATATGACCCTCCCTTCAGTCGAGAAAATACCCCATTAAAAGACACAAAACGCTTAAAATAGAAAAGCTCGTTTATGATTAGTCGACTTTCGGCCAATGGAAACGCCAGATGTAAAATCCGACCACAGATTTGGAATACTGACTGTCGATAAACTATAGTAAACTTCATCAAAAGGCCCAAAAGCCTTTGAATACGACCTTTGACCTACAATAAAAAGCTCTTTTCTGATTGGTCGCCTCCTAAGCCAATGGGAAGACCAGATGTAAAATCTGATCTCTGATTTAGAATCCTAGCCCTCGACAACCTATAGTAAAGTTTAATCAAAATGTACAAAAAGCTTGAAATAAAAAAACTCACTTCTGATTGGTCGGCTTTCTAGCCAATGAGAAGGTCGGATGCAAAATTCGGTGTCGGATTCAGAATCCTGGTCCTCGATAACCTATAGTATAGTTTCGTCAAAATGTACAAAAAGCTTAAAGTAAAAAAGCTCACTTCTGATTGGTCAGCTTTCTAGCCAATGGAAGGGTCGGATGTAAAATCCGAGCTCGAAATCGGATTTCCCAACCTCAATTACCTTTGCTGAAACTTTACGAGCTACGCTTAAATAAATTTCATCTCCGATGTTTTTTTGACCTGTGTTACAAGGGCAGCCATAAACTTATTTTTTTTCATATGACCCTCCCTACAGTCGAGGGAATAAGTGTCTACAAAATGACAATACAAGTAACTCACTAATGAATCAAGATTTTTTCTGCTTTTGAAGACAAGAAAAAAAGGAAAAAATAGACTGAAAGGTATCTTTGTTATTCAGATTAAATACTTTTGTAAGACGTCACTTTGATCGATTTGGATGCATGGTTGCATTTTAACGAAGAAATAAGCTTTGCTGTCATACGATAAAATATTAGAATATTAATACTCACGAGGGGACATATTTAAGTGCCCCACCCCCCCCCGGAGAAAGGGTTTTAAACCATTCTATCCTGTAGAGACCTTGATGTATCTCATTAATATCAATGTCTTAACTGCTTTCGTTTAAGTCTGAAAAAAATAGAGAATCAAACTTTTTCATTTTTCATATATCATAGATATGATTATATATCATTTTTCGTTTTTGTAAAATTTGTAACAATTATGAATTTTTTTGTAAAATATTGTAAAGAATGAATATGATCTAATAGAGAACATATACTTTTCTGTCGTAAATAGGGGTATCATACATGTGTTTGACAGGTAATGATACATCTGGATTATTACTTGTTATTCTAACAATTTAGTTAGAATGACCAGAAATTTTATTTCAAAGCAATTAGCCAAAACAGTGCACAAAACATCAGCTAGACAAACTAAAAATGCTTATGATCAGCAACAAAAAAGCGATGAAAGCATAGAATTTCATCACACCAACTACAAGCTATAAAGCTTCTCTCGTCACAATCAATGATAGAGCATCTATCTACACCAAAGGAAAAACAAATATGACGAACATTTTGAAGTTGTCCGGGTTTCTGTCGTATATCCACACGAGTACCAAGCATACTCGATCATCAAATGAAAACGATCTGAACAAAGTTGATTATGGATTAGAGAATGTAGTTTCAATATATTATCCCTCAATCTCAGGTCAATGTTGAGCTGTTCAATTGCTACATGGTCAACACACCTTTGATAGAAATCTTCGTTTGACAGATGAAAACTGGTGAGTATTCGCAAACTGCACAATTCCACGCATAGCTTGATACGAATAAGATCGATTACCAACTACATAGGTTTCTTCGGTGTCATCCGGTTCAATTGTATAAGACTCATCAGTATCGTCATATTCGTCGATATCCAACTTAATATCGCCATCAATCATTTCGGATGAAGTTGTCAGCAACTGCAATACAGAAATGAGTTGATCAGCGGCTGCGTGATCCTGAGGAGATGGTTTGTTGTCTTTACAATTCGGATACTTTTCCTTTACTAACTCATTAAACAATCGTACTAGATCAGCTACGTTAAACATGGTTACTCTTTTTGATGTTTTATAATGTTGTGAAGCAGTCGGTGACTTTCTAGTTTATGGCCAAAGAGAAATATTGCTTTGTAATGTATACAAACACACTTAAATTGCTTCAAAACGACGGATATACAGGTCGATTACGTTATTTTTGCTAGTTTTCTTCAGCTTACTGTATTTCTGCAAAACATAATACGCTTTTTAGTTATATATGACTGGATAGAGCATTCATTTCTCTATCGATCGGT